GTATAGCATTTTCTCATAAATTATGCAAAAGAGGTCAAATTTGAATAATATATGGTTAATGATGGTTATCTCTATTTAACTTCAAAATGTATTCCAGACGCAAGTAATAAGTAATAAGCTTTTGTTAATACAAAGGAATTACTTATTATATTATAAATATTATAAATAATTATTATAAATAAACAGATGCAAGCTACGATGCGGATGCCAACAAAAAGAAGAAATGTCGCAGCCTCGGCAATAAGATGTTGAGAACTGTCAGTCTTGTGATCGGCTTGGTAGTCATAATCCTATTGCCGTATTTGGCAGGTAAGACTTCTATAGAAATGGGTAAACGTTGAGTTTATTGTAAAGTAAAACTGAGAATGCACTTTTTTCAGCAAATTGCTAATTTATCTGCAGAGATTATTGAACTTAGCAGAGTTTAGGGGGTTAATTGATTAGTGACTTTATTGTTAGTATAAACTAATATGCTATCATGAAAGTTCATCTGTGTTGGTAGTTACATGTTTAAAGTTAAAACTTTTGATCCAACACAAATAAATCTCTCACCTAGAGCTTTCGACCAGTCACTGTGGTCTTCCTCAGTAGAATGACCCAGTGAAGCTTGTCACGTGGCTTCTTTGAAGTGTGACGTCAACACTGGGTCAAAGGTATCTGGTAGACGAAGTCAGCCCCCGTCGCGGTTCAATGAGGCCACGTGACAAGCTTCACTGGGTCAGTCTACTGAGGAAAACCAGAGTGACTGGTCGAAAGCTCTAGGTGAGAGATTTCTTTGTGTTTGATCAAAAGTTTTAACTTTAAACACAAACTAATTTGGTTTATTACTATACCAGTGTAGTAAATGTATTTTCATTAAACAGTTTCAGTCAGCAATAATGCTGGGGAAATTGCAAAGCTGTCAGAACAGATTGCCAGGCTTGAAGGCAGAACTGAACGTAAGTAGTATGTCTTTTTAACGGTAGCCTGGTATCCAGTCTGATCGTGGTCGGGTCCGAAAGAGCTCTGTCCCTCACATAGGTTTCACGGTGTGTATTTCACGAGAGATTGATTAGCCCTCCACGAACATCGTGTTGGGGGGAAACCAAATCCCCAAGCATACTGTCTCTTATTAGCGTAACTCCCCTACCGGGACGGTCTGTTGCACTGGGCGGGGGAAGCTATTAGAGCCCCCGAAGGCACAACCTGCCCGAACACCCCAATACCCCCAATCACATAAGACTGGATACCAGGCTGTAGAAATGGAGGAGTATTGTGGCCAGTCGTTTCTTTTTTTTTGGGGGGGGGGGGGTCGCAGCTAAAACAAAGGGTTAAATCGGCATGTAATTTTATACGTCGTCTGCAGCCATGCCCTTGATAATGCACATATTTTTATTTTCACCGTAGCTGTTGTCGTGGTCGATATAATATTTCAAAAGCACCCCTAACTTTAAGAAGCACATGGGACCGGCCGCAAAAAAAACGTTGTTTTGAATAGCAGGGGACGCATTTCCTTCGGGCAGATATGGATTTTAGTCGGTGAAAAGTCAATGTTGTCTTCGCTGTATTTCTTTGTAATTTGGCATGTGGTGTGCCGTTATGTCCGTAATGACGCACGTTGTTTTCCTTTCACTGTAGCAGTTTTATACTGAGTTAAATTCATGTTTCAGAAACACCCCTATTTCTATATATTATCCTATGAAAAAGGTAGCTGTGTTGTTAGATATTAGGTGGTGGTTGTGTATAATCGTTTGTGAGTATCTTTCTGGATTGTGACTTGTTACCTTCGCCAAGAAGGTTATGTTACTTTTCAGTAGCGTTTGTCTGTTTGTCTGTCTGTCTGTCTGTCTGTTTGTGAACAGCATAACTCAAGAAGATTAGTATGCATTGTCATGAAAGTTGGTAGGTGGGTAGGTCTTGATGAGACCTAAAAATGATTAGATTTTGGGCCCCCTGGCGACTTTTGTTGGTACTGCAGCAGAACTTCCGGTTTTGATATCTCGCGATCTGGACATGCTAGGGTCACGAATTTTAGTTGGTAGATAGCTCTTGGGGTAGGGAAGAAGTGACATGAGTTTGGGCCCCCTAGCGGCTTGTTCTGGAACTGCAGGAGCATTTGTTGAAAAATTTTCGAAGGATGATAACTGAAGAACCGGTTGACGGATTGTCGTGATTTTTGGTATGTAGGTAGCTGAAGGGATGCTTGACATAATCAAATGACAGTTGTGCAAATCAGGAGCTAATTTGCATAATTAATGAGGAAATTCTATAAATCTGCTTTGTTCGATAATAGGACTATGAAACACTTGTGACATGTAATTGAGAATTAAAAAGAAACATCTGAGGAAAAAGACTATGTAAATGAAGACCTAATTTGCATAATTAATGGCAATTTTTTTATAATTTCATAGTTGTAACTACTGGGAATTTCATACTTGCCACATTTGGAAGTTAAGTGAAGGCGAACATCAATAAACATAATTTATTCAAATAATGACCTCATTTGCATAATTTATGAGGAAGTGCCATAATAGCATTTTTGTTAAGATAAGACTGTCATTGGGTGGAGAATATGATCAACTGATATAACCCATGCAAATGAGGATCTTATTTGCAAAATCAATTATCAAAATTGTATAATATTTCAACCGCAAGGGTTAACATCATTTGGCGAAGGTATGAGATCGTGGAACTCTTGTTTGTGACTGTTATTACCTTCGCCAAGAAGGTTATGTTTTCAGAGGCGTTCGTGTGTGTGTCTGTCTGTGACCACGATAACTCGAGAAGGCTTAAATGGATTGTCTTCATACTTAATAGGTGGGTAGGTCTTCATGAGACCTCAAAATGATTAGATTTTGGGCCCCCTGGCGGCTTGTTGTGGTACTGCAGCGGAACTTCCGGTTTTGATATCTCGTGAACTGGACGTGCTAGGGTCACGAAATTTGAATGGTAGGTAGCTCTTGTGCTGGGGAAGAAGTGACGTAAGTTTGGGCCCCCTAGCAGCTTGCTCTGAAACTGCAGGGGCATTTCTTTAAAAATATTCAAAAGAGGATAATTCAAGAACCGGTTGACGGATCGTCATGATTTTTGGTATGTAGGTAGCTTAAGTGACGCTTGACATAATTATGTGACAATATTCAAATCTGGATGTAATTTGCATAATTTATGAGGAAATTCTATAAATCAGCTGCATTACATTATAGGACTATTTAAGCTTGTGATATATGTAATTGAGAACAAGAGAAACACAGACAGATATTTATTATGTAAATTAACACTTAATTTGCATAATTAATGAGAAAATGTTATAATTCCATAATGGCGACTGCCTGGAATTTCATACTTGGGGTATTTGAAAGTTAAGTAAAGGTGAACATCATTAAACATAAATTATTCAAATGAGGACCTAATTTGCATAATTTATGAGGAAATGATAGAATGGCTTTCTTTGTTACGATAAGACTGTCTTTTGGTGGAGAATATGATCAAGTGATATAATTCATGCAAATGAGGAACCATTTGCATAATCAGGAGGAATAATCTTTACTTTGTCAGTCATAAAGATTAACATCATTTGGCGAAGGTATGAGGTCGTGGAAATCTAGTTGTGACTGGTTTGCTCCTTCTATGACACCTTACCAAACAAGAGATCTGAGATCACATACCTCCATGAAATATGGGCTTGACGTGTAAATGTAAATTTCCTCTTTAATTATGCAAATGACCTCCACATTAACATAATTAATGTATCGTGATGTTAACTTTTGATGAATTTACAATTTACACCAGGTAGGAAATTCCCATCATTTACCCATTGAATTTTCGCATTAATTATGCAAATGAGGTCATAATTTGCATTATTGGTATCTGTTGATGTTCCATCTGCCAAAGATTACATACATTACTGTATTAAAGTACGTACAATAGTAAAACACTGTAATTAGAGAATTTCCTCATTTATTATGCAAATAAAATCCTCATTTGCATAATTTGCATTAAGTTATGTACATCTCTCTCAGCTATCTACCTACCAAAAATGATGAAAATACATTGTTCCTGTCTGGACCTATTGGCTTTTAAAGATTTTCCCCCGAAAGTCCCCTGCAGTTTCAGAACAAGCTGCTAGGGGGACCAAACCCACACCACTTATTCCTGGCAGGACAATCTATCTGTCACCCAAAAATCAAGACCATAACATGTTCAGGACAAAAGATACAAAAACCGGAAGTTCTGCTGCAGTACCAAGGTCATCCACCAGGAGGCCCATATTTGACCTTGACCTTTGGCTTCCTAAGACCTACCAGCATACCAAATATCATCACAATCCATAAAGGCGTTATGGAGTTATGCTGACTACAAATATGCGGAAACTCAAACACACACACACATAGACGCGCCAAAAACAATACCTCCATTTTCATGGAGGTAACTAGATCTCAGTGCCAAAATTACGTCAACACTGGGTGTCCATCCACCCTAACACTCAAATTTTCCACATCATAGCGCACAGAGGTCGCCTTATTCCCTGAGGAAGAACCTCTCATTAATCAAACCAGGTCGTAAGCCCGGGGCAGCCTCGACACAATCAGACATCTGTTACCCTGTCTGGCAGACTCCTCATTAAACCGGAAGTGCTGCTGCAGTACCAAGGCCATCCACCAGGAAGCCCATATTTGACCTTGACCTTCGCCCCCCTAACACCTACCAGTATACCAAATATCACCACAATCCATAAATGCGTTATGGAGTTATGAAGGTACAAAAAAGCGGAAACACAAACACACATACACACACACACACACACACACACACACACACACACACACACGCACACAGACGCGCCAAAAACAATACCTTCCATTTCATGGAGGTAATAAGTAATATGTAGTAAATGATATAATAATGAAATATGACTGTTTAGATTGTCTTGTTGTTGATTATATGTATTTGCAAAATGTAAAACTTCACGGAGGATTGTCGCCTATGGACCTGTTTGATTTGTTACTATACTAGTGTACCGTATGACCGGTGAGATGGTTAAGTGGGTAGAGCGCTCGCCTTGCATTCGGTAGGTCGTGATTTCGTTCCCCGGCCGAGTCATACCAAAGACTTTAAAATGGTACATACCGCTTTCTCTGAGTAGCACTCAGCATTTGAGAATATAGGAGTTAATTACACACCACTACCAGCAGACACCACTACCCTTGCTGCAGTGATTGTACAATCGTGTGGCCTAAGGGAGAAAGATGGAGATGGGCGCAGCCTTATGCGACCATGCTGATGGTTGCGGGAGGGCTTTAACTTTAAATTAACTAGTAGTCATTTTTGTATTTTCATCAAACAGTTTCAGTCAGCAGAAATGCTAGGGAAATCGCGAAGCTATCCGAACAGATTGCCAGGCTTGAAAGGGGAACTGAACGTGAGTAGTATTTCTTTAAAAATTGATTCGGCAGTACGCCCATTTTTAATAATTTTAGACAATCATAAGGTTTAGTGCTTTATGTTTAATAGTTAAAGTCAGCAGATATGCTGTGGAGCTTGGGAAACTATCTGACGAGGTTGCCAAACTGAACCAGACCAAGTGTAAGTGGCCTATCATACTAAAATCATTCATGGATCTGAATGGCTTTATCGCCTGTTTAACAAAAAATCTGTTTTTGTAGTATGCAAAGGTCATTACTCTTTCTAATTAAATAGAAACAAGACACAGTCTCTCTTGATCTAAGGAAGTTTAAAGTTATATGGACAGATTGCCAAAATACACAGGGCTGTCGTTACTAGCGTTAAGTTCCATGCATATTAATGATAGTAAAATGTGTAGCTTTATTTCTTATCATAGTTTTGAAGAATCTGTTTTGATTTGCTAAACGTGTTTGTTTGGTAGCATCTTAGCTAATACCCAAGCCCAAGTAACAGTCGGTCAACAGTCTGAGAAGTTACCTAAAAAGATTACCGATTTAAACAACCATTTCAAAAATAGATTTACCGTTTTTTGTTATTCTTTATTCAGTGTTTTTTGTTTTAAAAGAATACAGTTTTGTTTGTTACATAGGTTTATTGCAGGCATTAACTTGATTCTAATATTGTTTAAATATTTCCCGAACTGCGGTAAAATTTTGCAGGATCCCCTAGGCCAGCTGGACCTCCCGGAGAAAAGGGTGTTCAGGGACCTCCTGGGTCCCCAGGAGAAAACGGGACTTTTGGACCAGCTGGACCCCCTGGCGAAAAAGGGGCTTTGGGACCAGCTGGACCCCCGGGACAAAAGGGGGCTTTGGGACCAGCTGGACCCACGGGAGAAAAGGGGGCTTTGGGTCCAGCTGGGCCGAAGGGAGAAAGGGGTTCTTTGGGACCAGCGGGACCCCCAGGAGAAAGGGGGGCTTTGGGGCCAGCTGGACCACCAGGAGAAAAGGGGGCTCTAGGTTCTTTTAGGCCGCCAGGAGAACGGGGACCAATTGGGCCAGTTTGCAATGCGTCTGCCGGGCCTCCTGGACCCCCTGGTGAAAAAAGATCCGTGGGGCCAGCTGGTTTTGGCGCCCCCGGACTCCCTGGGCCTCCAGGAAATATGGGGGCCATCGGGCCAGTCTGCCTTGGGTCGGTCGGGCCTTCTGGTCCTCCAGGGGAGAAAGGAGCCATGGGGCCATCTGGCTTGGGGTCTCCCGGCATTCCTGGGCCTCCAGGAAAAACCGGACCCAGAGGGCCAGTTGGTCATGGACCTTCCGGGCCTCCTGGTCCTCCTGGAAAGACAGGTCCTCAAGGGCTGATGGGTCCCCCCGGACCACCCGGTCTGCCAGGGACGTCATTCTGCCCTGCTGCACCCTCTGGACATTCCGAAATATCACGACGCCCTGGGTCAAATGCAAGTGAGTCAGCACTTTTACAAAATGGAGAAATTTCCAACCATCTTAAAAGTGGCTAAAGTATTTTTACCTCCTTCTGTTGATTTTAGTTCTTCCTATTTGATATTATCAAGTTGTGGCTGGAAGAAAACGAGGCTTAAGACACAGTCATCTGTCATTAAGTTAACACACACACACCCATGGGGAGAGAGACGGAGACACGGATAGCAAGAGAAAGATAGGGAGAAAAAGAGAGATCTATAAGAAGATAGAACGATTGAAAGACACCGGTTAGACACCCTCGCTTGCACACACACTTTTTGAAATCGTTAAAATTATTTTTTGGTCTAGAATAAACATTTAACACGCCTGAAAGTAATTTTATTCACATTTTTGCGCTGCAATTAAAACAATACTATTGGAGGTTTATTCAGTGCGGGTTTTAATTCATTTGGAGAAGAGAGTCAATTGTTTATTATTAAAAAAAAAGAATTTCCTTTCAAACAGGATCCACGGAAATCACACGCGGGAGCCCCGGTAACAGGATAACCTTCTTTAGAATTTGAAATTTTATCCTTAGCATAGTAACTGACCACCGTGCGCGCGTACACACACTCACTCACACACACATACTCTCTCTCCATCTCTAACACGCACACGACTATCTCTAAGAAGATTATACTTTATTATATTGAATACTGTGATTTGGGTTTTTTTCGGCAATGTCACAGCCCCTGCTCTTATAATGTGAGACACCTTTTTTTTTCTCTTCAGTGTTTTGTGATGACGGTTACACCCTGTTGAAAGGAACCTGCTACAAGATCTTCAAGGTATATAGGAAGTTTAGCGACGCGTCTAACTTCTGTCGTGAAAAAGATGGCGGCAACCTCGCCATGCCCCGAGACGCTGAGACAAATGACGCTCTGCTGAGGTTGCAGGATTCTCTTTTCTTTTACTGGATCGGCCTACACGATCAGCGTGAGGAAGGGACGTTTGAGTGGGTGGATGGTTCTGCGCTTGGAGAGTACGAGTTGTGGGCTCCCGGACAACCAACTGGCAGGTTTCCTTGGAATATTGCGGATTGTGTCACTTTGAGGGTGAACAAATGGATGGCTGTGCCATGCAACCTCAATCATCACTTCATCTGCCAGGCTTCTCCAGGTACTTGACGCAAAAATGGCAGTTTCCAAGGGAGAGGGGGATACAGAGGGGAAGTGGAAAATTAGAACACACACAAGAGGGCACGGCCTCACGCACACACACACCGCTGTCATTTACAGTTAACCCACTACAACGGCTACTAGGAGCCTTTTTCACACTGTCCTAACAGAGAAAAACAAACATTTTCAAATGCAATTTAATTCCTGGATGTTACATCTAGACCGTCATTTTGGACTGAATATGTATTATTCAAAGAAGGCACTGGGTGAATAGCACAGTATTCTTCCTGACAATTGTAAAGTTTACCCATAGCTTAGCAACCTACATCGTGCACACACACACACACACACACACACACACACACACACATACTCACTAGCACCCCTTCCCCACAGTCAGACACAGTTATTAACATCTTTTTTAAAAGATTGTACTTTATCATATTGTTTAGTCTGTTTTGGATTTGGTGTTTAATCTTTTTTCTTTACTATTCTCCCCCTGCTATAGTAATATAAGAATCTTTTTTCTAGCATCTTGTCCTAAAGGTTACACCCTGTTGAGAGAAATCTGCTACAAGATCTACAAGATATCTAAGACATTCAGCCAGGCGACTAAGATCTGCGATAACGATGGTGGTACCCTTGCCATGCCCCGAGGAAATAGGGCACACGCGGACCTGCAAAAGTGGCAAAACTTCCCTAACTCTTATTGGATCGGCCTGCACAGTCAGGCAGAGGAAGAGACGTTTGAGTGGGTTGATGGTTCTGCGCTTGGGAGGGTCAACTTGTGGTTTCCTGGAGAACCAAATGAGATTACTCAGCTTGATGTCTGTGTGGCTTTAGAGGGGAACAAGTGGAAAGACCTGCCATGCACAGTCTCTAATCACTTTATCTGCCAGTCTACAGGTAACAAAATGGAATTTTGACGTATTTTCAAAGAGCATAACATGATTCTGTATTATCATTGAAGTATCACCATTATCTCCTTAACACCTTACACAGACATTCCTTATTTTATTCATGATCAGTTCCTATATTCTTTTACAGGGCTCGGGCGTACCTAGATGACAGGTTTCGGTCAACACTGCTGTAGTAAGCTGCCGTAAAAATCATGTGTAGGAAATCAGGAGACAAACCTCAAGAATTAGCCTTATACGAACAAGGCGTTTCCTTTGCATTCATTTTGTCAAGGTCTATTTATTTGCATGTTTGTGCCTCTTTTTGTTCATAAGTTACTCACCAACGTTTGCAACAATAATGATAAGAATCAACCTTGTGTCAATTTTGGAAATACATCAAGCATGTGTGTTATCTTATATTTAAAATGATTTTTAGAATGGTTTAGAAGATTTTTTGCCCCAAGTGAAACAAGGGAAATGATTGTTAAAATACAATAGCAATTTGTTGATTATCGGATTTTAACCAACAAAGCAGAAGACAGTTTGAGGGAAATGCCTGCAGATTTTATATGCAGGGAATAAAAAGTCAGAATCAATGCGTGTGGAATTACAGAACTAGCAGTAACATCTTTACAAGTATAAACAAGTATACTTTGTAATTGCTGTGGTACTTTTTACATTTGTATTAAGTAACATTAGAGTTGTGTACAATGTGTACAATGAAATTGATATAACTGAAACGAAATCTTTTTGCCTTAGGATTTAAGAACGTGATGTCTATTTGCTTTCGTTCTCTACTTGCCGAGAGAGCGCTAAACGTAAATCATGAACTATTTTAATTATATTTTGATTGTTTAAAACCATACATAAATATGAAATTCACCAACGCCCTAAAATGACAAAAATCTTTATATAAATTATAGACAACTGATGGAAAGATTTTATCGCCTATGGTGGATGTAATGAATTCAAGACGCTGAAGTTTCCAAATAAAAAAATTCACAAGTTGGAACACGTATTTGCATTTATGAACTGCCATTGTGAACAATTAATTTGTCTGCTAAACAGCACTGCGGGTGCATTCAAAAGAAAAGAATGACTATGCATTAATGTATATGAACCATGGAAAAACATATTGTCTACTATAAAACGATTAGAAAAAGCAATGATTTGTAAAACAAGGTACCAACGAATTATCGAATAAAAACCGTACCCAGCGACAAATTTGTTATATTCTTCTATAATTACAACCACATTTTTCTCGAATAGTATGATAATTCATGTGATAGCCTGTACTATCACTTAACACTATAGATCATACTATAGAGTAGGGGACCTTCCCGGTGTGAGAGGTTCAAACCTTACAGTCTGGTCTCAGGTTTGACATCTTTGAAAAGGTGATAGTCACCTGTTATGTCAATCCTTCCACAAATGTGGTAAATCTTCATTATAGATCATACATTTTGGTATGAAACTATGATGTCCTAAACAGATTTTTTAATACACGTGGCACATTTATTGATGGTTACTATGTAAAATGAAAGTAAGTAAGCTGATGTTTTCCAATCAATACATAATGCATTAAATATGCCTTGGGTTTGAAAAGAAAGAAAGAAAAAAATGTTTTCAAAGCATGTATCGGTTAGAAAATCGTTCGGATTTAATAAGATTTGTCTCGACTGTTCAAAGCATGACGTTTGTAGCCTTTCTAAAATAATGTTTTTTTTTTGCTAATTTCAATAATTAGATCTATCTGCACATTGCTTACGGGTGTAGACTTAGACGTACATCGACGGGAGCTTTCTCTAGCGTAGGGCGTGTTTTTCCTGTCAAGAAACCGGACAAGTTGCATCATGCCTGGAGGGCAGCAGCAATCCGAGACTACAAATCCAAAAATCCCAGGAGGTACAAATTGTTTTATCAGAATTGTATACATAGTTGATTTTACCTTAAAGAGACAAGTAATACTACGTAATGACCTCCACCCTGCCGATATAAATTCGATAACGTAAAGTACCAGACTTCAGTTTAGTCCTGGCAGCCGTGCAGTGCACATTGAGAAAGCTTGGCTAAGACAGTTTAACTTGCAAGTACAAGCTACTCTTCAACACACTATAAGGATGAGACACATGACAAAGTTCGATTCAACAGTAACCATGAGTATAAAGTATACTAGTAATGGCAGCTTTGGTCTGCCATGTTCTGGGTTGTAGCTTAAGACATAAGGCTGGCAGTTACTTGCCAAGTTCTCCATGTAGGGCTTACGTAGGGCAACTTTACAGGAAATTCTGAGAGGAGCCGGCAACAGGAATATAGAGTTCCTCTACTAGGCCGACTCCTCTAGAAACATAGAAACAAAACAAACAAACAAGCAACAATTTAAAAAGAGTAATCAAATCAAATCTCTAAACAGTTATGGCATCGACAGGTAGTTGTCCAGGTACATAAGTTGTCGGTTGAAAAAATGTCGTTTAAGCGAGATCTGTAGTAAGAAATTAACAATTTTTAACAGACGGTAAGCTTAGATTTGAATACATGTGTTGACGTATGGATAATGATAACATGTTCCAGATTACAGCTATTCGACTAAAATAGGAATGAGAAAAGGTTTCGGCTTTACATGGTCGCGGTACAAGTAGAAATTGGTCTGTTGAGCGGAGTGACCTAGTTGGTATGGATACAGTCTACTGGTTTATCTGACTGCAGGTAGGCACCACATTTACAAGCCGTATTTCAGATTAAAAAAAACTGCTAAAGCTAATTCAGATGTGAAACAGGTAAGTTGGAAGTATAGCATACAAGTAGACACTTTGATACAACAAGGGCATAATGTATATATCTTTTTAAATTTTATTCACGTGGATTTTTGAGCATTGGATAGGAAGCACTTGTTGTGCTTATGTAAATCCGCTGCTCATAAAACATAATACAAATGTAAACATAAAGATGACATAAAGTATAGCATAAACATAAAATAAAAGTGGCTGGCGCACCAATAACCTATAGCATAACATTAATGAGATCGGCCAAATCTTCCAGAGTGGTGGATATAGTTAAACACAATATCAAAGATACGGCAGTTAGTAGGGTATGGGAGGGAGGGGCTGCCTGTAAGAAGTGAATTACATAATGCGGCGTCGTTTGCGTTGAGTGGGTCGGAAGGAAGTATGTTTTCAAGATGAAGGCAAGATATAGATAACAACATTTTGGTCCTTTCAGTATTATAAAATTTATGTATATGCATAATGTATATAGTAATGTCCGTGGAAAAATTTTTTGACAGGGGTGATTTGAAAGCTGGAATTGGAACAGGTTGATTTTCCAAACTAAATGTTGCAAATAGAATTTTGATAATGTGGCTTTGTAACAAGTATCTGTGACATTCTGTATGGTTTGATGATGTTTCACTGGAAACCAGTAGAGAAATATATTTGAATATTTTGAAAACTGACCTGTATGCAAAATTTAATCTGCTCCTGCCTTTGTTCTGAAGGGTAGACTGTCCGGGTTTTTATGATTTCCACCGAACCAAAACAACATTGCAGCTTAATATACAATGTAAAAGGCTGATGCGGGTATCACAAAAAAACAATCTGACAGCATAGAAAGAATCCAGAAAAGGGCATGCAGAATCATGCTGGGTAGAAGCTATCACTCGTATTCCGCGGCCTTGTTAACTCTGACCTCCAACGTCTGTCTGAGCGCAGACTTAACCTGTGCCGGGCCTTTGCCCTTTCAGCTACGAGGTCTAGGCACGCCCCTTGGCTACCTGCAGACAGTAACCACCCACACAATATGCAGCTTAGGCAAACACGGCGATACAAACCACCCAAAGGGACACAAAGATATCTACGTAGCCCGGTTCCCTCAATGTTGCACATATTGAACACCTTGGAGTTATAGTAGAATTTATTTTTTTATAATAGCTGTATGTGTTGTAATAGTGTTTTATCTTATAGTAGTTGTAATAGTTTTTTTAGCTATATCATGTAATTTGTAACGGATCTTGCAATGCTGTAATTTTTAACATAAAAGTGCAATAATCTAGTGCAATAGTTGATGCTTATGCTTAAGTTATGTACATGTTAAATATATTCTACCTGTGTATCTCATTGTAAAAGCTGCCCAATTCAGCCTGCGGGCTGCAATTAGCAACTTATATGTATGTTGTATGCATGTTCCTTTTGAAATAAACCAGTCTATATATAATTGGTAACAAATGCTTAGACTATAGTGTTCACTATTCAGATTCAGCCCCTTGAAACACTTTTATTCACCTTACTTTCAGCTAAAACAGCGGTGGTAGCTTAAAAACCCAAATCCACAACTGACAGACTAAATAGAACACTGTTTCTACATGCTCCACAAGCTAGGAGGCATTGGAAGATTTCATCAATTTGTCAGGGGGGGGGGGTCTGTCCATTTTTGGTACGGGGGATGTGATGAAGCCATTTACTGCATTTGCTCCCGAGCAAATGTTGGCCTTTCTAGTAAGATTAATGTTAAATTTATTCAGGTACCACACCCATGCAGCGTCAGACTGATTGGAGGTCAGTTGCTGACGCAGCGGCGAATGTTCCTAACCCTATGTACGCCACCAGACCAGGTAAAACAAAATTGTCTAATAATTTGATTGTTCCCAAATAATGTCTTAACTTCATGCCATTTCCAATGACTGAAGAAAAAAAGAGAAGCAAGAAAAACTTTGACACGCACTATATTTGGCTAGACTGTTGGCTAGTCTTATAACGTACGTCTAAAATAGATACTGTCTTACCGGCATTGTAATTGCATGAATATGTACAACATGGTAATATCAATTAACATGTGGTAGAGGTATGCGATACATTTTCTAATAGGCCGATTCTTAGGAAGACAACAAAGTGTTGCGGTGAAACATTTTGTTTTCCATCGTTTTCTTCCCCTCCCTCTCCTACGATTTATTTAAATGGATTATTTTGTTGTTATTTTTTGGGCGAAATAACATTTGGCATGAAGGTAGAGTAGCCAAATTTCCACAGACTTTCCTTTTTTTACTGGATACGGGTTTTTAAAATGATTTATTTTTTGTTGCTGTTTTTATGGCTTCACCATAATGAATTCACCTTGCTTTCAGCAAAAACAGCGATGGTAGTTTAAAAATCCAAATCCAACCAGACCAAACT